TCCTAATTTTCCCATATGAAAGTCCTCTTTCCCTCATGTTTCCATGGTAGACAAGCTGTATACAGATTCTTATCTTTTCCTTATTTTAAATTACTTCCTTAGGTTGCTTTTAAGAAGTATAGTTTCTGGGTCATTCATACAGTATGAACATTTTTATGGCTCTTCCTTTCTAACTAGTATGAGTTTTTCAACACAATTTTGCATTCTGTGTGTGTGTGTACATAGATGTAGATAGCTTAATTTAATTCACCTGAAATGGTACTAAAGGCTCTATAATTGAATTTAATTTTTTAAAATTAAACCATTTTTACTTTTTAATTATGAAAATAGCAAACGCTGTCAAATTTAAATATTTATGAACTATACAAATAGAAAGTCAAAGATTCCCACATTCTTCTTTTGGAGGATTAAAGCACATCACCTCCTAAATTTGAGTTTACCTAAATGTGGAATGTGATTTAATGATCAAAGACTCTAGAATGGTACACAGAAAAACCCTATGGTGTGACAAAAGTTTACTCTAGTTCCATGAGAGGAAAGAATATCCAAGTAGAGGGCTGTGGTGATGTGAGGACTAATGGGACAGGGAGAAGATGCTGGGTTAATACGTCTAGCAAGGAAAAAGTCAGAGGCTGTGGTTTATTTTTAAGAATGAGCAGACGAAAGGAGAGGCTAAAATAATCCCAGTGTAGTTTGAACTGAGACTGGGTTGGCAGAAACACAAGGACCCATTTTATATAAACAGCAAACAAACTCTAAGACAAACTGAATACCTAAAAGTACATGACAAATAAAATTAGTGAAAAATAAGTGTTAACTAAAGACTTTAACACAGGTTCATGTACTTAGTAGAGTATAAGAAAATAAATTTATTATAAAGGAAAAATAAAATTGGCTCCTGCTCATACTATAAAGCTCACAGGTGATTATTTCTTTTTCATTTCTTTACTATAGACTACGAATCATTAAAAGTTTCTAATTTACAAGTATATTCCTCCATTTTGCATTGTCCATGCTCAACTCTGATGAAAATTGTTTTTCTTAGTCCAAAAATCAGGTTGTCTCTTTATAACTCTACACTCCTCTAATCATTCTTATAACCCAATGTCAAGATTGTACTAATCCGCCATCTTTATAATTTTAATTTGCACACTTGTCTGTAGAAACTGTTTGTGTGAATATATTCTCCATCCTTGATAAAACCATAAACTCCAGAGAGCATCCTATGTTTGTTCTTATCCACCCATACAATGAACACTAAAATGTAGCTAGATGATCTCAGAAACTTGCTTAATTCTATGATGGAAGAGGATGTAAAATTGTAATACATGGCTTCATACTTGATTAACACCACCAGCTATATTAAAGACCACCATTTTCCTAATAAGTTGTCCAAACATGAAACATCTTAGCACTCAAAATATTACCTATTACCCTAGCTTCATCTCCTACCCCACCCTATTGAACTTTATGCTGCACAGATACCAAAGTATTGTTGCTTCTGAAACACATGGTGCTATTTCACATCTCTAGGCCTTTGCACATGCTTTTTCTTCTCTTGGGAGGATCTTTCACTCACTTGAGCATCTGCAGTATCTTTTCATCCTTCATTAAGTCACTCATAAGTCACCTCCTCCAGGATCACCCATGTCCACCCTAACAATTCTATGATGCTTTTGTCTGTGCTATCTCTACATCTGGAACAAACTTCTATTGCTGGACTGAGTACACGATATTGTAATTAAACCCTTTACATGCTTTGATTCCATTATACACAATTCCAGGCTCAGTAAAAATTATCCAAACAAAGAACTGAGAAATGGGGGAAGGGATAACCAAGAAAGTTTCTGTGACTCCTTTGTGCAAGAACTATCTCTTATTCATTCTCCATAGCTCCAGGGGTAGAAAAGGATTTTGGATACAACAATGCTCATCAACTATCTGATATTGCTTTGACATAAATCTTAAATGAAAAAGAGGTAAAACACATTGGCATAAAATTATGAAAGACAGACTGCCACTAATCAAAGTCATGTATTATTTGAACCAAATCAATTACGGTGCACACAGGCACATTTAGGGGTCCAGCTAGAGACCTATGGAATCTTAGTGCCAGAACTAAGCTAGATGCACAGAATTCAAAAGTGAGGCATAATTCTTCCCCGAAAGGGCTCATGGTTTTGATGGAGAGTCAGTTCAGGAAAAGATAACTAACATATAACATGATAAAAATTATATACAGGACATGTTCAGAATATGACAGGGCAAAGGAAATATATATATTACCTAGCTGGAAGTGATGGGTGAGGGTATGCAAGGGAATTTAGGAAAGACTTACTGGAGGAGATCGTCTCTGGGCTCAATCCTAGATGTAAGACATGTCTTAATATGGTTGGTTGGTTGGTTGGTTGGTTGGTTGGTCCATGAAGGGGATTACTTGCTCTATGGCTCAAATAGAAAAGATCCTTAGGAAAGATCCTAAGGGAAAGTGAATACTAGCACATAAGCTATAGTGCAGATAATGGGTCTGTGTTGGGGAGGCAGGCAATACTGTGTCTTGAACTGGACCTGATGAAGAAACAAATAGAAGAACTGGGTCTCAGAGAACAGTAAGCATCAGAGGATAAGAGTGGCAGACTTTACCATAGTAACAGTGTAAGAAGAATAAAGAAAGGGTGGGAGATGTGGTGGTAGCGAGGAAAACATTGATGAAACACAGACTTGGGGAAATGGCTATCCACAAAGCAGTCCAGAGAGCTGTATTCCAAGGCAGATTTGAGATATCCTTTGGGACTCTTTGAACTAGTTGGGAAGGAGTTTGGAGGAAACCAGAGCTCCCACAATTGGGGGGCTAATGCAGAGCCAGAGAAATATTTACTTGCTGCTATTATGGACATTTTATTATTTTTTTAAACACCAAGTTGCTTTGTCCCATGTTGCATTAAAAAAGTATGAGAACACTATTCCAGCCCATAGGAATTTATAGTTGTGTTCAGAAAGCAATTGTGTTTGAAGATGAAAAAATTATTAAAGATTCTCAGAAAAGGAAGGAATGAAAAGTAGAATGCAAATATGAGAATATCCGACCAAGTCCAGAGGATATTTACCAAAAAAGTATGTGTAAAAAAACTTAAAGTAAAATAAGGTGATATATACAGGCTTACTATTGAATAATTAGAGAGGAGAGATTTTAAAAAGAAACAAAAAGATAATTTGCCATACTCTAAGTGCCCCGAGAACAGGGGGAGAGTGGTAACTCAAGAACCAGACTTAGATGAGAGAGTGGCTGTGCGGCAGAGTCTTGGGCAGAATGTTTCAGGAGTAAAAACTGAGTCTGGAAAAGATCATTTCCTCAGGACTACACAGTGGCTAAGAACTGGATCCAAGTTAAGGACCTAGAAGATTCTGATGGTCAAATCAGTCACAGGAGATGTCTGGAAAGATTTCCTGAGTTGGGAGCACCACATACAGAGGATTCTCCAAGGCAATCCTCAAGCAAGAGGTTAGTTGTTAATGGTGCCCAGCTGTTAACACACAGGAGGCTCCCAACAAAAACGCTCCAACTTAATCACCTTGTGTTGCCCTGCCCAGGCTTGCCAGGCAGGGAATAAACACGTGGAACTGTCCAGAGCTGGGAGGGTAGTAGACTTCTGGCTTTTCTCTTCAGATACCTGAGGAGGGGTGATCAGGTGGGCTACTAATTGATAGAAGTGGGGCCTGTTAGGTATGGGTGTGGCTAAAAATTTGATCTTGCCTCTTCTTTGAAGTATAGACCCAGAGTAGGGTAGTCACTAAAAAGTGCAAGCAAGTCATCTACAAGAGCTACAAGACAAGAGACCAGGAGTTCTGTCCTTAGCCCCTTAGCTCTCCAGTCACTGGGAAATCCATCACATTTGAAGTTCATCAGAATGGGGTCTTACTGTTTACTTTTAGTAGGAGCACAGTGCACAAGGGTATTAGGACCTCACATTTGTTGTATGGTCTGCTTTTAAAATTTAAGAATTTTGAAATTAAAAGGGTTAATGTTTTAAATGTTCCTTTTTATACTGTTTTAGCTAATAATATACTTAGAGTTATATTTGTATTCTCTCATTTCACTGTTTAATGAAATCCTCTTTTTTGGCTCACTCTTATTCCATTCTTGTATGCCTTTTTTGTTTAGTAATAGCATCTTCTTCCCTTTTTCTTTAGTTTTTTTATTGAGAACAATACATGCTCATTTCAAAAGATGAAAAGTATACGAAAGTAGATTTAAAAAATCATAGTCTAGCCCTGGCCGGTGTGGCTGTTAGTTGGAGCACTGTCCCATAAACTCAAAGGTCATGGGTTCCATTCCCCGGTCAGAGCACATTGCCTAGGTTGCGGGTTAATTCCCTGATGAGGCGTGTACCAGAGGCAACCAACTGATGTTTTTCATTCACATTGATGTTTCTCTCCCTTTCTCTCTTTCTCTTCCCCTGCTTCCCCTCTTTGTAAAATCAATAAGCATGTCCTTGGGTGAGGATAAAATAATCACATAGTCTCATAGAAATCATTTAACTTATTTAATTAGCATTTCCTTTCAGTCATTTTTCTGAGAAGTTTTTCTTTCCTTTTTAAAAAACACTGAGCTGTAATCTTATTTAACTGAATTCCTAAATCTTGTGCCTGAGGGACAGGATTTTCCAAGTGAGTTGTCTGTGCCCAATTATACAGTTTTGTCCTTGGGGAATAACAACTCATAAGAATATTATTTGCTTTTCAATTTAATCCCCAGATGCCACACATAACACATTCCCATTCCTGCAGATTCATCAGTTTGATCAGTTCCATCAGTTTGGTTTGCTAAAATGAGGATTCTACTAAGAACTTGTGATGGCCTTCTGCTTAATGGTAGTCCTTCAGGAAGTCTTCCAGGTCTTTCATAACATACAGGTTTCCCCAGCTATCCAAAAGTAGAGCATACCCATAAAACCTTTTGTAAACCAAAAATGGCATAAAGCGAAGAAGTAATTCATTACCTTAGGACACATCTTGCCAACAGATGCAAAATAAACAGATAGAGTACAGATGCTCACAGACACAGTTCAAAGATATGGTGGCTTGATGCAGAGATGCTGATTGTAGTTCCCAGGGAAGAAGCTGATCTGTTTTTCTTTGCCAGACAGTTGGCTGGGATTATGATTGGCATTGTATTGCATCAATAGGTTAATCTGGAAGAAGTTATATGTTAACAAAATAGAAGCTTCCAATCCATAAACATTATATACATTCATGTGTTTACATGTAATTTTTCTCAGCAGTATTCTGTACACTTCAGTGCAGAGAGCTGTCTGTGTCTGTAAATTTATTCTTATGTATTTTATTGTTGATGCTATTGAAATATAATTGGTTTTTAAATCTCATGTAAAAATACAATTAATATTTGTATCGGTCTTATATCTTAAGACTTCGCTAAGCTAAATTTGCTTATTGACTATAATAAATTTTTGTTGATTCTTTAGAATTTTCTATATAAATAATCTGCATATAGGAACAGTTTTTACTGCTTCCTTTACAATCTTTATTCCTTTGACTTTTCCTAACCTAATAATTACATTGGCAATGACATTCAGGAAAATGCTGAGTAGAAGTCGTGAGACTGGGCACCTTTGCCTTGTTACTGGTCTTAAGAGAGATGGTTTACTATTAAGAGTGATATTAGCCACGGGTATTTTGTAAATGCCTTTTATTAGATTGAGGAAGTAACTTTTTAATTCCAGGATCTATACATTCATACATATGGATGCTGAATTTTGTCAAATGATTTTTCTGCATCTATTGAGATAATCATGTTTTCCTTATTCTGTTTATATGATAGATTATATTTATTTATTTTGAAATACAAAACCAATTTTACATTCCTGGGATAAAACCTACTTAATCATGCTGTATTAATCCTTTTATAGTATATTGCTAGGTTCAATTTGCTAATATTTTTCTGAAGAGCTTTATGCCTGCCGTGGCCAGTGTGGTTCAGATGGCTGGGCATTGTCTCACAAACCAAAAGGTTGAGGGTCTGATTCCCAGTCACTCTCTCTGGGAATAATTTTGTCCATTATTAAAATATCAATCTTAACGATATATTGTTTTAATCATTTTCCTGGGTTGTGGGTTCAGTCCCCAGTCAAGGCATATGTAAGAGGCAACCAATCAACGCTTCCCTCTGGCATTGATGTTTCTCTCTTCTTCTTTCTCCTTCCCTTCCCTTCTCTCTGGAATCAATAAAAGGAAAAACCAGGAGAGATTTATGCCTATGTTCATAATAAATGTTTTTAATTTCAATTGTTTTATAATGTCTTTACCATGATTTGGTATCAGAATTATACTGGCCTCATAGTTGAGAAGTGTTTCTTCCTTTATTTTCTGAAAGCATTAGCAAAATTGTTATAGTTTCTTTCATAATTATCAGTTAAAATCTCTGGGCCTAGAGTTTTCTCTGTGGGAATGTTTTTTTAATTATAACTTCAGTTTCTCTGACATACCAAAGAATATGCAGATTTTTTATTTCATTCTGTGTGAGTTTTGGCAAGTTGTATTTTTCCAGGAATTTTTCTATTTCACTAAGTTGTCAATTTCATTGGTGTAAGTTGTTCCTAGAATCCCCTTATTCTTTGAAAGTTTATAGATCGATAATGATACTCCTTCTTTCATTTCTAGTATCTATAACTTGTGTTCTCCCAGGGTTTTTACAATTTTACTGAACTTTTGAAACAACCCATTCTGGTTTTGTTAATTTTCTCTTCTACTTTCTAGTTAATATATGCTATTTTCTTCCTTCTTAGATTTACCTTGCTTATATTTTTCTAACTGCTTACACAGTTAGAAACTTACACAGTAAGTTTTAACTCTTCCTCCCTTCTAACATAAACAATCAAAGCTATAAACTTCCCTCTAAGCAAAGCTTTTGTTGTATCTCACAAATGCTGACGTTTGTTTTTCATTATCATTCAGTTGAAAATATTTTCCAATTTCCCTTGTGATTTTCTTTTGACCCATAGTTATTTAGAAATACATGGTTTAATTTCAAAATCTTTGGAAATTCCCCAGATATCTTTTTGTCACTGATTTCTAATTCAATTTAATTATGATCAGAGAACATCTCTGTCTGATTTCAATCTTTTGAAACTTATTAAGATATGTTTCATGGCCCTGTATATGGTCTCTCTTGGTAAAAGTTCCATAGTACCTGAAAAGATTCTATATTCTGTAATTGTTGAGTTCTATAAATATTAAGTATGTCAAGGTGGTTCAGATCTATATCTGTAGACTTTTGGCCTACTTTTTTCCTTTTTTTTTTAAATTTTATTTTATTTTTTCAAATACATTTGTCTCTGCCTACCCCCAACCACTTTCCCTTGCTCCCTCCCTCCTTCCCTCCCTCAGCTCTTCCCCTTTGGTTTTGTCCATGAGTCCTTGCTATATGTTCCTTGACTTTCCCCTTCCCTTCCTTTTCCCTGCTCCCCCCTCCCTCCTTCCCTCTTGTCTCTGTTGATTTCTTTTCCTTTCAGTGTTGCTGGTCATATTTTCCTTGCATCTTTGCATTGTTGGTTAGGTTCCGCTTATAGGTGAGATCATATGGTATTTGTCTTTTGCCCTCTGGCTTATTTCGCTTAGCATAATGCTCTCCAGTTCCATCCATGCTGTCGCCAAGTTTAGTAGTTCTTTTTTTCTTTCTGCTGCGTAGTATTCCATTGTGTATATGTACCATAACTTTTTGATCCAATCATCTACTGATGGGCATTTAGGTTGCTTCCAACACTTGGCTATTGTAAATTGTGCTGCTATGAATGTTGGGGTGCATAGGTTCTTTTGTATTGGCGTTTTGGTATTCTTAGGGTATAGTCCCAGCAGGGGAATCACTGGATCAAAAGGCAGTTCCATTTTCTTTTCTATTAATTACTCTGAAAGGTATGTGAAAATCTCCAACTATGATTGTGGATGAGTCCTTTTTTCCTTACGTTTTGTCTTACATGTCAAATATTTTGAAGCTACATTTTTTTAGGCTCATATACATTTGTGATTATGTCTTCTGATAATATTGAGTCTTTATCATTATAAAATGTCCCTATTTATTTCTGGTAACACTCCCTGTTTTTAAGTATATTTTGCCCAATATTAAAATATCAACCCTAATGGTGTATCATTTTCATCATTTTCCATTCTTTTACTTTCAACCTTAATGTCTTTGTTTTAAAAGGATGTGCCTGTAGGCAACTTACAATTTGGTCATGTTTTTTATTCTGTTTGACAATTTATGTCTTTTAGTTGTAGTGGTTAGTCTTAACATTTACATTAGATTTGGTTGGATTTAGATTTGCCATTTTGATATCTGTTTTCTATTCGTGTCACCTGTTTGTTTGTTTCCTTGTCCCTCCTTTGGGGTTACCTGAAAAAAAAGTTTTCAATATTTCATTTTTATTTCCCCACTGACTTGTTAAAAACAGCTTTACTACAATATAATTCACATACCATATAATTTACCCACTTAAAGCAAACTGTTTGAAAAAACAACTCAATGTTTTCCAAATATACATATACATTCATAGAGTTGTACAACCATCACCAAAACCTAATTTTAGAACATTTTCATCCCCTTAAAAGAAATGGGGGGCACTGGCTGTGGGAATGGGGAGGGGATGGGGCAGTGGTGAGCAATGGGGAAAACGCAGGACAACAGTAACTGAACAATTTTTTTAAATTACTTAAAAAAAAAAGAAAACTCACACCCAATTAGGTGCCCTTCCCCAGGCACTCCTATCCACTCAACTCTAAGCAACTACTAATCAGCTTCCTCTCTACACAGATTTGCCTATTTTGGACACTTCATATAAGTGGAATCATACAACATGTGGTCTTTTCTCACTGGCTTATTTCACTTGGTGTAATGTTTTCATTCAAGGTTTATCCATTTTGTAGCATGTGTTCATACTTTTTTTCTTCTTTTTTGCTGAACAATATTCCATTGTATAGATATACCACATTTTATTTTTCCATTAATCCATTGATGGACATGGGTTGTTTCCACTTTTTGACAATTATGAATAACGCTGCATAAGCATTCATGTGCATATCTTCTTGTATGGCTGTACACTGTCATTTCCTTTAGGTATATATTGTACTTAAGAGCAGAAATTCTGGGTCATATGTAGGTCTATGTTACACTTGTTGAAGCACTACCGAATTTTTTTCCAAAACAGCTATATCATTTTAGATTCTCATCAGCAATACATGTGAGTTCCTATTTCTCTACATCCTGGCCAACACCTGTTACTGGCCATCTTTTTTATTATAGCCAACCCAGTGGATATAAATTCGTATCTTATTGTGGTCCCATTGGCTTTTTAGCTGTAACTCTGCATTTTCTTTTACTGGTTGCTTTAGAGATTAAAATATGTACTTTTAACACTATCTAGAGTTAATATTGTACTATTAAACATTAAACATGATCATCTGGTAAAAGCACAGCTCTAATTATCCCAACTATTCATGCTACTGGTATAAACTCCAAAATATAGTACTATAATATTTGTTTTTACCACTCCTGTTTATTTTAAATAAATTAAGAGAATAAAATAAATAATATACAGTATTTTATAGTTATGCACATTTTTACCATTTCTATTGATCTTCATTCAGTTCTGGAAATATAAGTCACCCTCTAGTATCATTTTCTGTGAGCCTGTAAAACTTCTTTGAGCATTTCTTATAGTACAAGTCTGCTAAAAATCAACTGCAATTTTGTTGGTTCCTTGTGTATAAAGTGTTGTTTTTCTCTGGGTACAGCAAGATTTTAGCAATTTGACTAAAACATACCCGATGTGGTTATTTTTGTAATTTATTCTTCTTGTGTTTCTTGGACCTGCAAGTTTATATTTTGCCAAATTAACTATTGTTTCTCAATATTTTGGGCCTTTTTTCTCTTTCCTCTCCTTTAGAGACTACAATTACATGTATGTTAGACTGTCTGCTACTGTTGAAGAGGTTTCTCAAGTTCTGTCTAGTTTTCATGAATCTTTTTTCTTTCTTGCTTTTCCATTTTTAATATATTCTTTTCATGTGTCTCTAAGTTAACTGAGTTTCCTTGACATCCAAATCTGCTATTAAGCCCATCCAGTTTATTCTTCATTTCAGTTACTGCACTTTTTTTTTTCACATGTATGTCCAGTTGTTCTACAACCATTTGTTGAAAAAGACTACCCTTTCTCCACTGGAATGCCTTTGCTCTTTTTGTCTAGGATCAGTTGAAAGAGACATATTCTTGAGCAGAGTTTTTCAAACTAGAGGTAATGAAATCAACTTAGTGGAGCAAAATGAACATTTAAAAAACCGAAATAGCCTAGACAAGAGAATACCAGAATGCAGT